TTAATTTTATTATTTTTCTTTTATTTTATGTGTATGCATGTATTACCTGAATGTAGGTAAGTAAATGCCTGCAGAGGTCAGGAGAGGCTGTCAGATCCCCTGGGATTGGAGTTACAGACAGTTGTTAGCTGCCATGTGGGTGCTGGGATTCGAACCTGGGTCTTCTGCAAGAACAGCCAGTGTTCTTAACCACTGGGCCATCTCTCTAGCCCTGGTTCTGGCTTTTTAATCTGTTAGTTCAGGTTACAGCAATAGCCTTGGGAATCACCTCTCTGCTTTCCATCTTTCCTATTTGGTCTTCCTAGGTTAATACTGCCTAGATATGACCTTTGGCTTGCAGTCTGGACACTAGCTTCCTGGCTCCTTTAGAATAAACTTCCTGTTCCTCAACTTCTGGAGTCTTCCACAACCTTGCTGTGCCCACTTCACTCACCACACCTGCTATATAACCAATACCAGGCAGATTGGTTAATGGAGTCCTAAGGTTAAGAAACCAAGAACTACTAGCAAATTATGGGGGCATGCTGGAGATCAAACTCAGGACCTCGTGCATACTAAGCAGGTGCTTTGCCACTGAGCTATAGCCTAACTCTGGCAAATCTTAAATCAGGCTACCCCTGGTATAAAATCAGAATGCAAATTAATACATTTCCATGATCTTTCTATCTATAATAAAATTAGGTTACCCACTCAGTAAAAATAACTTGAATGCATTGTGCATGCTGATTACATAAAGAGCCTTGATGCACTGTATATTCAAGCAAGTAAAAATGGCTTTATCCTAGATTGAACCAAAAGCTAATATGCCAGTGATAGCATTAAACATTTAATACTGATTCTGCCCATGTTCTCTGCAATGATGGTTCTTGTGATAAACGTGTCTACAGCCAACAGAGCCTCTTCGAGTCTTTCCTCGCCCTTAGAATTACAATTCAAAATTGGTGTCGTTCTGTTAAAAATAGCCCTTGCCGCATCTAGGTATTTAAAACCTGAAGGCCTCAAAGAGGGCTTTAATCATAAATATTTGGAGAAGCACAGTCTGTTACAGATCATCTTGTCTCCTCGCTCTCCTCTCTTTCCCTGCCCAACACCACCTGCATCTTCATCTTCCTCATCATAGATGAAAGCTTTGGAAGAGCAAAATGTTCCCACACAGACAGGGAGAGGGGCTATGTTTTCCTGACATGACTCGGGCATCTCTATTTCTGGTTTGAACTTTGGAATGGGTTGGTAGGGTAGAGCCGCTCCTCTCTCCTAACCACTGCCACCCTGCCTTGTCACTCTGCTTTAGCCATCAGGGGTCCTGATTCATGAGTGGCCTCAGAAGGATATCCAGATGTCATATTAGACACCCTTAAGGTCCTCAGTGCCTGGACGTCACCCCCAGCCCAGAGCTGAGCACTGAGGATGGAGATGCCCCAAGGCCAACGAAGGTGGGACTTATGGGAGGAGCAGGCTGACCCTTTAGACAAGTACAGACTCTTGCTAGATGGAGAGGGACAGACTGCCCTTTCTTAGCTGCCAAACCCCTCTCCTTGCTCCTAAAACTCAAAAGGTTTTATTCAGGAATGGGCTGACTAAATACATGCAGACTGCCCAGAATGAGAGGCCCTTTGTCAAGGGTTCTGGCTGCCCTTTGAGAATGATTCATAGGTGATGACTGGCCCTTCTAAAGCTGCCCCCTTCCTCCTGCCTGTGGATCCCAGTTCCTGACTCTAGATCTGCCTTTCCTCTCCAACTAAGTGGAGCTCCCTATCTGCTCATCTTGTTCTCCTCCCCCAGCACTGCAGGCCTCCCCTGGTTTCTCTAGCTACTTCTGACTAGGCCCAAGGTGTCCCCAGCCTCTCCTGGGGCTCCACCAAGGAACTTCTTGTCTGTCTCATAAGCAGGTGCCCTGGTTATTTTCCTTTGTGGTTGCAACTCACCTTCTTCATTGGTCCTTGACCCTGACTTTGTTGGGTTGTAACCTGCCCGGTGTCCTTTCCTGCCCTGATTTTGCTGCCCATGAATCCCAATCTGTTCCAAGTCATTTGTGTTCTGTCCCCATTTTCTGGGAAGCCCATCTGGTATATTTGGAGCTGGTGTCTGTTGCTGCTGTGTCTTGTACCTGCCTGTGCTTCTCCCATGGCCCAGCTCCATCCTAACCCACTCTGCTCCAAGTATCCAGGTAGGCCAGGTCAGACTCCCAGACCTGTTATTACTTGGACACAGCCACAGATCAAAGCTCTGCTGATGGTAACCTTGTTATGCTAATCCTGTTGAGTAGACAGTATCCCCGAGACCCCATGCTGTGTCTTAGAAGAGGTCTGACAGGTGGGCACACAGAGAAGGTGGTGATAAAATAGGACAAACACTAAGATCATCAGCTGGGAGCGGGGGTCCAAATTCAAGTTCATAATTAAAATCATGCCATTCTTATCATTGGTTTCAGAGATGGAGAACCATGGGTAGTGTATCCAGGGAACTAAACGTGGTGCATCTTTACTTCTTTACCTTGTAATTTCATTTCTATCATAATTTTCACTTTCTATCACACATTCTCATCTTGATCAGTAGCCAATTCTTTTTCCCTAACAAAGGATAGGCTTTGTTTGTCAGGATAGTTCAGGTTCTCTTTTCAGGAAAAGGAACAACAGTAATCTGGGCTCTGGGGCTTGGGAGGCCTTCTAGTTTCTTCTCTTCCCTAGTCCCACCTACCCCACCCCTTCCTTTATTTACTTCTTTAAACTCTGTGAAAGTAAGATGCCAGTAGAAAGATGCTGAGATGACCCATAAAAAGGGAATTTCCCTCTGCCTGCCCTCATTTCCTAACCTGGGTTGGTGACTTGACCATGTCCAGGTGTCCCTGCAGGGAAGGCCTGTCCCCTCTGGCAAGGGTCCCAACCAGTCTTTCTTTCCAGCCTGGGTGACTTGGGGTCTGCCTCCCTGGCCTGCACAGTGTACCTGTAAAACTCCAGGCCTGGGTCTGTGGGTCACAGCAGGTGTCCTGGTTGTGACTATGCCCGTCTGGGAAGGTCAAGGTTTGGAGGGCTAGGGTTGTCTTCCCTGGACAGGAGGAATGCCAGGTCAGTGCTCCCACCCACCGAAGGAACTCTAAGACCTAAGGCTGCCTTTGTGTTCAAAAGACACCACAGAAAGAAGAGGATGTAGCTCAGTAATAGAGTGTTTGCCTAGTGTATATACAATGGTAGGTTTCATCCTAGCCGCTCAAGAGGAAAAAAAGGGGGGAAACTTTTTAGATAAGAGTGTGACATGATCCATTTGTGAATATATCCAGAGGTCACTATTTAGTAATCTTTAATAACAATTTGAGTTTAGTAATATTAAATATTTTAATAATAGCTGGCTCGGCTCATAGAAATTAAAGAAATAAATTTTATAAATGTGGAGATTTGCAAGCTTTTTAAAATGGTTATATGGTATAGAACTTAGTGCCAGGGTACTTAAGAAATGGTGTCTCTTGTCTTGGTTTTTTGGTTTGTTTGTTTTTTCTTCTGAGACAAGGTCTCACTGTGTAGCCCTAGCTGGCCTAGAACTCACTATGTAGACCCAGCTGGCCTTGAACTTGCAGAGATCCACTTGCTTCTGCCTCCTGAGTGCTGGGATTAAAAGTATACACCACTACATCTAGCCAATGTCTGTTTTAAAAAACAAGTTTAGAAGACACCTTGGATTATGTCATTTTATGTTTGGATTTGCTAAGCTGTCTTGGGTCTGAGGTAGTTTTAATCACACAGTACCTGTAGCTGGACAGCTGCACAAAATTGCTGCAGAGCCTGTGTGGGGCCTGGCAATCAAAATTTCTGAATTGTCCTAGAGTCATGCTTCCTGGGCATTCTTTGTATTAACCTAAACTTTTAAGACAAAAAAAAAAATCAAGAATTTATAAATATCTGACTCATGTTCAGAGAGAGATATAATTTGGTTCAATAAAGAAGAGTGAATCTTTGAGCTTGTCCTTTACTGTATACACAGCATGTGAACCTGACTTGAGAGCTTTAATGTCTTAAAAGCTCCTTTGAAGCTTTGAGTCACTCTGATTCTGAGTTTGGGGCTGGATTAGACACTTGTTGGAACTGCCCAGACACTGTCAGCCCACAGAGAAGGCTCATTCTCCAGATACTGCCCATGAGATAACCCCACTGACACCTGCTGCCCCAGCCAGGCATAGCAATGGGAGAGGGAGGGACCCATCGAAGCTATGGTACCACTGTCTCCAGGTACGTGTGCATTGCCATGGAGGCCCTGGACCAGTTGCTCATGGCCTGCCACTGCCAGAGCATCAACCTCTTTGTGGAGAGCTTCCTCAAGATGGTGGCCAAGCTGTTGGAGTCTGAGAAGCCCAACCTGCAGATCCTCGGCACTAACTCGGTAAGGAGTAGTTTCTGGGTCTCCCAGCACCCAACAGGGGTGGGGTGGGGTGGGGGTGGAACTCTGGGTCAGGAGTGCTGTGTTCCATCTCACTTGGTTTCTGACTCTAAGCATAATGCACTTCTTGTCTTAGCTCTCCCTTTGTGTGAATAAAGGGGTGTTTTTGTGTCATCGATCTAAAAAAATATGTAACATATAAATGTACAATAAAAATGCTTCTTACAATATAATTCACATTTTCTTGGGGGTTTTACCCATAGCTCATTAGTCCACTCCTTTTTTAAAAATTTATTTATTTTATTTTATGTGTATGCGTGTATTGCCTGCATGTAGGTAAGTGCACCCATGTCATGCAATGCCCGCGGAGGTCAGAAGAGGCTGTTGGATCCCCTGGGACTGGAGCTACGGACAGCTGTTAGCTGCCATGTGGATGTTGGGATTCGAACCTGGCTCTTCTGCAAGAACAACCAGTGTTCTTAACTGCTGAGCCATCTCTCCAACCCCCCACTCCTATTCTTGGAAGTGCTTTAACTTTAACTAAATAAACTTTATTTCTAATTCAAAAAATAAACTGGACATGGTGGTACATGCCTATAATTGTAGTACTTGGGAGGCTGAGGCAGGAGGATCTTGAATTCAAGGCCAGGTTGAACTATATACCAAGACCCTGTCAAATAAATAAAATAAATCAGGCATGGTGGCTCATGCTTATAATCTTAGCAATCAGGTGACTGAAGGAGCAGTCATCTCTTGCTACAAGTTAGAGGCCAGTTTGGGTTACATAGTGAGTTCCAGGATTGCCTGGGCTACAGAATGAGACTCTGACTCGAAAACATAAATAAATAAATAAATAAATTAATTAATAATTAATTAAATAAAATTATATAACTCAGCCATCCTAAATATATTCATAAAATCAACTTGTTTAACCATCAGCACCATCTAATGGACTGATCTTTAGACTGATGATCTCTAAACTTTTTTCCTAATAGATTTTCCTCTTAAATAGTTTTCAGTGGGAGCCGAAACAGATTGAAATAGAGACATTGCATGAACTTGGTGCGGGGTGCCCAAGGCCCTTACAATTCAGCACTCTGTGGGGTGTCATTCAAAGCTGGTCCTGGTTATGTGTCTTTCAAAGATAATACTGATACTCACAGGATAAAGGTACCAGAGAAATGGAAGGACTTGTGGAGAAGCAGAAAACAGGCCCATAGATTTAGTCCTGCTCCTTCCTAGCTAGCTGTTTTTTTTGTGGGCTTTGGTGTTTTCATCTAAACCACAGCAGGTTGAACTTGGTCTCTGTGAGTCCCCTGGGCCCTGTTGTTGGTTACAATGCAAGTGATGTTGTTATGAAATGTTATGATTTGTGAGAAAAGAGCTGGCGAATATGCCAAGAACTCCCAGTATCACATGTGTATCTAAGTGTTCTCGAATGCTCTGAGATTTCTTTAATTTCTTGCCTTTTGTCCTAGTGTCTCCCCTTAGAGCATACGTTAAGCTCCCAGTCTTTAAGCAGCTTAGATACTACTATTTTACAGCCTTAGTGAGCTCTTTATCTCCCTGAAGAAATCACAAGAGAAAAGTAGACTAGTCCCTTGCCATTCCTGGCTAGATGTTTCTGAATATTTCTTTAATTTTTTTTACAATTCATAATTATTTGGTTGGGGGGTGGCTTGTGAAATTCAGAGGACAACTCATGACAGTCGATTCTCTCCTTCCACCTTGTTGGTGTCAGGGATCAAACTCATGCTGTTGGGCTTGGTGGCAGGTACCTCTACCCACTGAGCCATCTTGGTGGCCCTGTCTCTAAATTTTTATCTTGCAGATCACAGGTTTTCTCCTGTTCTACTTGAGTCACTTGAGCCTGAAGAAAGTCTTTTAAGTTTTCTTTGCAGGACCCAACATGGCAGCCCTTCCCTTCTTTTCCCTTCCCTCTCCCTGTGTATCATTTGCCTTTGACAAATTATATGCAGCAGCTGAGGGCAAAGCCCTTTGTCAGGTTGCTCTAGCAACAGCTTTACATACTGTTTTAGTTGTCTTGTTTAAGATAACAATGGTCTGAAAAAGAACATCTGAATGGAAAATAAACTAGTCATCCTGGATCCATGGGGGCCACAGCAGCTGGTGGCCACCAGCCCTTATTTTCTCCCACAGCAAAGCCTAGCTCTGAATTCCACATCCCTCAGCCAGGGAACGGGCTGCTGAATAAAGGCTGTGCTGTGACCAGGAAGGTCTGCAGGGCCGGCTCTAAGCAAGTTCAGTGAAACGCAGCGGTGCACTGAGACTCCTGCTTGGAAGCAGCCTTCCTAGTATTGTCCTTCATCCGGAAACTCTGGCCAGCTCTATGCAAGGACCTTCAGAGGAGCTTTTTTGGCTTTCTGTCGTTGTAGACTTGCTAGAATGCCAGGGCTTACCGTGCTCTTAAGGACTTTAGCCCAGGAGTGTCAAAATGGTCGTTACAGGGCTTGAGGGCTTTGTGGGAGCAAAGGAGGCTAGAATAGAGACATGGAAGGTTCTAGGTCCTTCCCTCCTTGCTTACCCAGCAGCCAACTCCTTTTAACTACTGTGTGGTCATCTGCAGCATTTTTTACTCAGATAAAAGGTTTTGCTGCTAGGAAAAGAAAAGTCAGATGTGGTGGCATTCACCTGTACTCCCAGCAGTCAGGGGGTAATGGGAGGAGGATCTTGAATTTGAGGCCAGCCTGAACTACATAGTGAGATCCTATCACAAAACAAAATGAAACAAAAAATAAACGAGAAGGGGGCTGGAGAGATGGCTCAGCAGTTAAGATTATGTACTGAGCCGGGTGTGGTGGTGCATGCCTTTAATCCTAGCACTTGGGAGGCAGAGGCAGGCAGATCTCTGTGAGTTCAAGGCCAGCCTGGTCTACATAGTGAGTTCCAGGCCAGCTGGGGCTACAGGGAAACCCTGTCTCAAAAAGACAAAAAAAAAAAAAAAAAAAAAAAAAAAAAAGTGTATGTACTGACTTGCAGAGAACCTGGGTTTGGTTCCCAGCACCCACAGCTCCATAGGGATCCAATGCCTCTGTCGTCTGGGGTACCTGCACTCATGTATATACCCACGCCCAGAAACACACACATACACATAATTAAAAAAATATATATATATATCAGATATTTCACTGTGCTTTTTGATTTATTTATTTTTGTTTTGTTTATTTGTTTTGAGACACTGTAGCCCCAGCTGGCCTAGAACTTGCTATATAGTCCAAGCTGGCCTCCATCTCACAGAGATCCACCTGCCTCTGCCTCCCAAGTGTTGGGACTAAAGATATGTGCCGCCACACCCAGCTTTTCATTTATTTATTTTGATTTTATGTGTATGAGCATTGTGCCTGCAGGTATGTAAGTGTACCCATGTCATGCAATTCCTGTGGCGGCCCAAAGAAGGTGTCAGATCCCCCCAGAACTGGAGTTATGGGTACTGGGAACCAAACCTGGGTCTTTATAAGAGCTAGTGCTCTTAACCACCAAGCCATCTCTCCAGCCCCATAAAAAAAAAATTTTTTTTAAAGAAAATATAAATTACTGAGGTAAAAGGAGCAGGCGGTGTGAGAGTCAAAACAGCGAGGATTACAAGATCCGCTGTCCATCTAGGATTGTTTTAGTGAAGCAAAGAGGCACTGCCCATTTCCCCTGTGGATGTAAAGGCAGCAAAAGCCTGTTGTGAGAGGTGAAGCCCTGCCTTTTGCCCAAGTATTCTGCTATTGTCCTGTAGGTGACAACAGAAAGTTACTCGGTGCAGAAGTCCTGCCTATCCAAGCGGGAAAGGCTAACTCTGCTTGGAGCTACTTGGTTGTTGCTAAAGGGAAGACAACCAGGCCCAGCTTCTCTTTTCAGACCAGGGGAGAGCTGTTTGTAGAATGTCAATATTTGAAGTGGCCTTTCTCTTTATTAGCCAGGCTCTTAGTTACCCTCAGTTTTCTACACAATTATGGCTCCTACCTGCCTGTGCTGGTGGCTGAGTGATCTGCTCCAGCAAGTTCAAAAATCCTTTGTTGTATAGAAAGAGCCAAAACTTTGATCTTGAAAGGGTGGCCCTAGCAGTGCTCATGGCCTTTGAAATGTTATATGTTCAGAATCTTCAGCTCGTTGCCATGGAGACCTTCCTCATCATTGCTATATCTAAAAAAAAATAATAATAAAACAAAACCTCAACTTTATTGTTAGGTTAACTTGATTGCCTCAAGTTAGTTAGGCAACTAGCATTTAAATAAAAGGCATGTGTAAGGTGTAAGTTAGCTATGGCTGGGGTGAAGTAGGCAGGATGTTCTTGCCGTCCCATGCATTTAGAAAAATAGGGGCCAGTCACACAGGCAGGTGGGTCCAGTGAACACTCACAGAGTAAGCCAAAACTGCTCTGGAGGAGTCATCCTTGAGCCATGGACAGGCAGAACTCATAGGAGTTCTAGTCTTTGCAAGCATGTGAAACAGGTGCTCATATTAACCCCATTTTATATATGGAGCAATTTGAAGCACAGGGAATTTAAGTAATTTGCACTAGGCTACCTGACTAATAAGTGCAGGAGTTGGGATTCAGACATACAGTCTGGCTCTAAACCCTTCCTCATAACTCTAACACTTACAAGAGGGATGGTGTATCAGGCACAGTGGTGCATGCTTATACCTCCAGCACTCAGGAAGTAGAAGCAAGAGAATCATGAATTTCAAGCCAGGCTGAGCTGTAAAGCAAGACCTTGTCTAAAACAACACCCCAAGGGCTGGAATGTAGCTCAGTGGTAGAACACTTGCCTTGTATGCACAGGGCCATGGTTTGATCCCTAGCACAGAGAGAGAGAGAGAGAGAGAGAGAGAGAGAGAGAGAGAGAGAGAGAGGAAGAGAGGATGAGAAGGAGGAAGAAGAGGAGGAGGATTGATCCTGCTGTAAAGTCCAAGAGTTCCAACCCTGTTTCAGCCAGGTTTGGGCCCATTTCCTTGGTGGACATCCACAATGGGTGTGGCCTCTTGTTCACAGC